CAGAATCTCACTGGCCTCCCAAGTAGCTTGGACTACAGGCGCCCACCACAATGCCCAGCTATTTTTTTGTTGCAATTTGACCGGGGCCGGGTTTGAACCCGCCACCCTTGGTATATGGGGCTGGCACCCTACCCACTGAGCCACAGGTGCCACCCTGTCTCTCTCGTTTTTAATAAAATTGAGGAGGGGTGTTGCAGAAGAAATGGACCTCGCTGCCTTGGCCCTTCCCTCACGGTACTCAGTCAGCAGCGTCACCCTCACCTGGGAACTTGTTAGAATAACACAGGTGTTTGGCCCCTGCTGACCTACAGACCTACTGAATCAGAGAGCCCAGGCTGACATCTGCCTGTGTTTCCACCAGCCCATCAGGCGATGCTGGGGGAACATGAAGTTTAAGAAGCCCCTGCTAATGCGGTTTCTCGGCGGTGACACCATGGACATTTGGGCCGGTTGCTTCTTTGTCAGTAGGCAGTAGGCGGCTGTCCTGTGCTCTGTAATTAAGTAAGGGTTAGCACCCTCCTCACTTTCTACCCACTAGATGTCAGTAGCACCTCTGTCCCAGTTTCAACTACTAAAAATGTTTCCAGACATTACTAAACATCCTCTGGGGTGGGAGGAGCAAAACCTTTCCCCTCACTCCTGTTAAAAATCACCACTGTAGAAGAATCAGTGATAGTACTGGGAAAAACATAATTTCCTGAAAGTCCATGTAGCCTTTCCCTGGGTAAGAGGTAGTATTCTAAAGAATCCTCTTAAAGACTGTTGGCCTGGCCTCTCTCCATCTAGGACTTCAGGAGACATCTGTACATTACCCTTCACTGTGTAAAATAGTTTAGATGTCTCCCCTTTCAAAACTTGTAAAATATAAAATCACGCAGAAAATAAAGATATTATGTATATTAGGGATTACCCTGACACTGAATATTTTCCAGCTGTTACAGATTTATCTGTAAGTAATATGAATTCATAATGTTTCAAAGCTTGGGTTTATAGAACAATTGTAATGAGGGTTTAAAATTTCTTGTTCATAATACCAGTTTTGTTATACTCACTTTAGGATAATCTTATTAAACGGGAAAAGCATGAACTGATCTCTACTCTGAAGTTAAAGAGTTTAATGAAATTATTACTCTGGATTTAATTAACTTATTTGGGTTGCTGAGATCTCATATAAACTACTGCTCATGGTTAAAGACAGCAGTTAGTTAATTGAACACTTTCACATCGTTTAAGGAATTTGCCACAAAATTCTTGCTAGATTTTAACATTCATTTGCAGAGTTAATAGCAAATTTCAAACTGGAAAAATATCTAATATCCGTTAAATTCACAGATTTCAAATATGTTTTATACTTAAAGAATTAGAGCATTTCATTAAAATGTCGGGATTCTGTTTTTAAGGAAAATGGATAATTGAAATATTACAAAAGCATCATTTAATCCAGCGGTTCTCAACCTGTGGGTCACCTTTATAATAATGACAATACATCCTGCATATCAGATATTTACATTATGATTCATAACAGTAGCAAACTTCAGTTATGAAGTAGCAACAAAAATAATTTTATGGTCAGGGGTTACCACAACGTGAGGAACTGTATTAAAGGGTCATGGCATTAGGAAGCACTAGGAAGGTTGAGAACCACTGATTTAATCTATAATTTTTTACTTTATCTCCTCCAAAAGCTAGAACCATAAGTGCTGACACCTAATTTTCCATCACCAGCAATTTCCCAGATTTAGCCCCCCCAGCAGACAAAGTTAGAATGACCAATGAAATGGCCAAAGATGAGATGACCAAAGAAAACAACAGTGGGGTACAGCACAGCCAGAGGCCACTCACGGGGGCCCTGGCTCTGCACAGTTATCATATTTTCTACTTCTTAAGCAAGATCATTATATTTTCTGCGTCAGTGAAGCACAGTACATTGTCGTAGGTCTCCTATGCCAAGATGCGAAAAGGATTTGGCAGTTAATATGATCAAGTCTTCTTAGTCAACCATTACTTGATAAAACAGATTTCATTAATTGTTGAATTAAATAGACTTAAGTTATACTGATAAAGTGGTGAGTTGAGAGTGTGGTTTTCACATTGTATCTGTATAACCTACCATAAACGGACTGAAGCAGGAGGAACCAGTGGCATAAATACCGGCAGATGGACCAGATTTTCCAGGAGAATCCTGCACTCAGATGTTCTTCTCTTTCATTTTACAGCAATTATATTAATGTATGTCAAACCGTTTGAGCAGATTTTAAGCAGATTTGTAGTATAAAAAAACCTATAGTATTTTATGCAATGAAAAAGGGCCTGGATTAGGAGCCAGGTTCCAAGTCATAGCTCTGCCACCTGTGACCTGGTGAGGTCAGGCATCTCCCTGAGCCCCAGTTTCCATACGTATAAAATGAGAAGTAAGTCCCAGGGCTGATGCTGCTGGCTGCGTCATCTGTCCCACGGGGTATTGTGAGCATAGAAGGAGATTCCGTGTCCAAGCATAATTTTGCAACTATAAAATGGTGTTAGGCCCACAGAGTGCATTCTACCTGCAAGGGTGGATGGCATGATGTTAATTACATTTTCCTAATATTGTGACCTTTCTCACATTTGAGATTACTAAATATTTACACCACATGCAGTAGCCCTTCTATCAAAGTATAGTAAAAACTCATTTATAAAGTTGGCAATACCTTCAGTCCTAAATAGCTTCAGCTCAAGATAATTTCAGGAGCTTTTCTCAGACTTGGGCTCCCTTATGCTGGGGGGTTGAGTACAGAGATGGAGGAGCTCTGTATTCCACGTGCCGTGTTTTTTTAGGTCACAAATTACATGCAATTTCTCTCTTTTTTTCACTTAATATTAGTGATAGTTGTGGGCGTGGGGGTGGATTTTGTTTTTGTTTGTTTTTAATTTCAGTTCTGGCCAGGAATGATGGATGAGCTCTCCGAGTTGAGAGAATTCTATGATCCAGATACAGTGGAGCTGATGAACTGGATTAAGTAAGAGGATTTTTTTTAACCTTTAATATTTTAAGTGCCTTTTAAGAGTCACTATATACTTCATTTGTATTTTGGGGGGGGTTATTAGTTTCTAAATCTCATGGCAAAGAAACATTCTTACTACATTTTTCTTTAAAACTCTGTATTTGGAAGTAACTTCTTACCATTCAAGAAATATTCTCTCCAGCTATATCCCATGAAGAAAGGAAAAATGCCCATTTGGAGAGGAAAACAGGAGGAGGAATAAATTTCAAACCACTGACAGAAATGGCTATAAAATGATTTCATCTGTGTTAAAACTCACGATTTTATACTGTCTTCCAAAATTATCTTTATTGTCTTTATCATAATACTACTCAAATTTCCTATTAAGGCTGACATTTGAAAGTATTCTTTCCTTGTTAATTATTTTAAAATTAATACTGTAAACCGCAGTTAATTAGAGCCATAACAGCCAAGTGCAGACGTCCTGTTAAGATGGCCGAGGCCCAGAGAAAATGTAGAGTGCAGGTCCTGGGCCTCTGCTCTTCAGCACCTAATGCTGCACACGGTGGCCGGGCTTACCTTTGCCCATGCTTCGTTGCTCTGCCTCAGCTTTCAGCATCGGAGCAAAATTCATGTCTTTCTAAGCTTTTGTTCATAACCTGCCTCCAACCTGCAGAAAGAAACTTCTGTCCAGAGCAACCTTCCCACGCCCTGTTGTAATACTGCATCTCCCTGCTTTGTAACCAGAAAGCAGCAGTGTTGTTATTCACACATGAACAGATACTGCAGATGTGGGCTGCGTACTCTGAGAGCCTGGGCTGGATGGTCCCCGTCACTTAGCATCTCGGCAGCCATGCTAGCCCTTGCTTTTGAGCAATGCTTCCAGCCCATCCTGTCCAGCACACTATGTATCTAGACGTGGTAGATGTTTCATAGCATAGGTCTCTTGAGTACAATACATGGATTTTGTAGAGATTTATGTCCAAAATACATACATGACTTTGGTCCCAGTGTCAGCCTAGATTTGACTGGACGCAGTGAGTGTAATTTCTCGCATCTCTCTAGTGCTGAGAGTGTTAAGCAGTGCTCTGTCTTTGCTTACGTAATTTTAAATCATGGTAGATTATTACCGAGTAAATAAATTACATATAGGGAAAGAGTTATTCATGGAAAAGAAAGCTAATTACTTGCGCATTAACTATAGTCAGCTGGAATGGTGAAGCTGATTCCTTTAAGATTATACATTGGAAATTAATGCTGTAGGGTGCTCACTTCTGGTAGCACCCTGAAGGTGGGAGATCTTTTCCAGACCTATCTGGATTAACATTGTAAGCCCTCTTTCCCATTCTGGAGCCCTCAGGAATTACTTAGAGGCATGCACAGCACTCTCCAGCAGAGGCCCGCGTCACTTGGCTGTCGCAGACTGGACAGGCTTACTCTGTGCCTTGGTTTTCACCCTTTTTCTCACAGAAGATGACTCAAAGTAACATTTCTGGCTCTGAGAAATTGTGGGTGAGAGATTATTCCAGGTATAAAGAAGACAGGATCTTAGTCTGTTATTCCTCTTGTTTGGGAAAATGGTCTTTGTTCCCTAGATTGTCCTCTTACTGTTAAAATAGCTCCTCTCCCAGAATAGTGCCTTTGGAAACAGATTCTTCTGACTTTTTCTTTTCTTAATTCTCAGCAACTGAAGGGTTTGCTTTGTTTCAAAAAATTGTTCCATTGTGATCTAACTTTGCCTTTTTTCTTTAAAATTCTTCAAATCTAAATTACCGTTTTTGTAAAAATAGCTGCTAGCTGCTTGGCATGTTTGTGAAATAAGCTTAAGTGATGATGAATGCATGCCAAAAGAGGGTCTATTTAGACATGAAATATGTTTATTTGAATCAACACTTAAATCAGCACTGGTCCTCAGCTCCGATTCTAGACACACATGAACGTACTTGACATTCTTTTGACCAGCGTATTTCTTCTTTTTGAAACATAAAATCTGACCTTCAGCTTTCACTGCATGGCTCATCACAGCATCTGTGACATTAGAGGAATTGAATCATGGAGGAGAAGAAACTATGGCCTCAGGATGCACGTAGCACCTGAGAGCAGCCCAGACATTGGGTGGGGTGTCTCAGACAGTCAGCAGACACACTCAGGCGTTTGTCCTTACTCACTGCAGTCATGACAGCAAAGACAAGGGCACAGCCTCCATTACAGATGGCTGCCATCGGGGCAGATCAGAGCCAGAGAAATGGTGACCCCCAGCAATTCCAGGGGAGCCTCATTTGAGTAAGAGGCTGACCTTTACATCAAGTATGGAATAGAAGCCCATTTGCCATCTTCTGCGCTTTGTCTCGTGTAAGAGATGGGGGGGCCATAAGTCCTACCCCTCAGTGTTGTGGGGGGCGAGTCCACCCCTCATCAGGCATCAGTGTTGTGGGGGGCGAGCCCACCCCTCATCAGGCATCAGTGTTGTGGGGGGCGAGCCCACCCCTCATCAGGCATCAGTGTTGTGGGGGGCGAGCCCACCCCTCATCAGGCATCACTGTTGTGAGGGGCGAGCCTACCCCTCATCAGGCATCACTGTTGTGCTCCAAGGACGCTGAGTTTCCACTTGGAGATTCATACTTCCCAAGTATTTGCTGAGACTGTCCCTGCTTGGAGGGTAATTGAAAGGTGGCATCACCTCAGTGAGAGTCATTTTCTTTTCTTTATGAGGGGTCTGGTTATGATCTCTTATAGGCTAAAGAGACATCTTCAAGGCACAGTAAAGGGCATTACTTTAGGATCACACGAATGGGAGAAAGGTCATGCCGGAGAGATTGGATTTCTGTGTAGACATGGAAAGCCTTAATACATAAAGTCATTTCACATCTGAAGTTTTGTGCTTTTTGACACAATTCGGTGGATGCAGACTGAGCACAGCTGTGTATTAAAGATGTTTTTGTTGGGCCCCTTAGCCGCGTCTTCATTACTGTAAACGTTGAACCTCTTCTTAGCACCGTAATTTCCGTTCTTTCATCTTCTTACTTATGACTCCATTTTAGATTTTCAGAGGCTCAAAAGGTTTAGTGCAAAAATTTTTTTAGAGTTCTAATTTTTAGTAAAAGAAAATGTTGTCTCGTGCTTTCCTATCTTTAGTTCCTTAAAGGAGTGGAGATTTAAGTGTAAAACTAAAGATATTTAGGGATTGAATTGCTCTTTTTTTGCAGAGATATTTTGACTTCTTAATTAAAGACATTTTAGACAGCAAGGACATTTTATTGAAATCAGGTTACCAGGATGCAGTGGCCCCAGCTGCCTTTCCTGTGAGAGCGGGGAGGTCAGCTGGCCCCCAGCCTTTCACACCCCTGGCCTGCGTGTGCACCTGGCTGCCTGCTCTCCACGGCACGCTGAGGTGCTGCAGGCTTCGTCTTCAAGCAGATTTAAATGCATATATTCATATTTACCCCTCTTTGGTGATAATGTTTCCTGGATACAACGTTTAAAAACCTGGTTGGTTTGGTGGGTTTTTTTACTTTGGGGAGGGGGAGTGTTGCCTTCTGGTATCTCTTTCAGCAAAAACCAGGTGGTACTTTGTAGGTTTTCTGTGTGATTAGAAAGCACGTTGACTTCAGCAGCCCACATGCAGCAGCAGTCTGGGCTTCATACCTTGTTCCTTTGTGTCCTTGAATATTTCATTTCTAGTTCCTGAAAATTTTCTTTGGCATTTTGCAATTAAGATAGACAGATCTATAGATTTGAATATTTTGAGGTATGACATTTTAACTACTTGGCATTAGGAGATTTTCACTAGAAATAGTGTATTTCCAGTAATGAACAGGGCACATGCTGTATTTTCTCAGTGGGACCGAAAAATTGGTACCAAGTTTCTTCCACATTAAATCAAAGCAGAAAGAGTAACTGTATGTTTTTAATATGATATAGGCTAAGTTCAGACCCTCAATGCCTGTAAACTTCTTTTATACTTAATGAATCATTTTGTAGTATTTGCATAATTTATGAAATTTTGAAGTGTAGGTAAAAGAAGATTTCCCCATGTTACAATGCTCACTTTACTCATTAGTTCAATTTGATGCAACTTGGAACTTAAAAACATCAATGAGATTATTTGTTCAGAATGCCATCAGGTCTTCCTGGAGTGACATTTAAATCATGTAATGTAAATCCATTTGACCTGTGAGTCCTTGTCATTGTGTAGTGACATTTCTTCCCAAACAAATAATGTGCAGGTTGGGCAGCCTGCTGTGGAGCTAGGCAGAGAGCTATAAAAACAAATTATCCTTTCATTTTCTACATCATTTGTTCATACACTTGTAAACGTTGCTTAGTTTTCTGTGATAGAGAAGTGTCATCCAGTGGTTAAAGCACATTAGCTATTTTAGAGACAGACCACAGACTGGATGGGAGATCGTGTCTGTGAGCCGGGTGGCATTCTCTGTCATTGTGCGTATTTTAAGTTAAGGACAAAGAATCCCGTCTTCTTTGTCTGCTAAATTCAACACAGAAACTATAAAATACGACAAATAGAAGGGTGTTTTTAAGTGCGGGATTGTGGGATTGTTTTCCGTTTTGTCCCACTTTGCTGGTTGGCCTGGCTTCTGCATCTGCTTCTCCGGCAGTTAAATATTTAAAGCAGCAGACTTGCAGCAGCCCAGACGTGCCTCGGAGCTGGCAAGGAAAGCCAGGTCAGACCTTGCAGAGTGAGTAAACATTATCTCTGCTGTCCTCAGAGGTCAAGGGTTTTCAAAAAACTGTTCTTTCTAATTCATTTTATAGGCATTAGGGTATTTGTATTTTAATACTTTAAAATAAACCCAAAGGCCTTATTTAACAGACAGATCTGTTAACCATCCAGAGGACTGTTGCACTAACAGTTTGAAAAGATTATATTTGTTTTGAATGTCCTGGGTTTTTTGCTAATAAAGCCAAACATTAAGATGTCTTCAATTTAATGAGCTTTATTCTGTTTTTTCGTCCATTCCTCTAAGCAGTCCTGTGAACTGTCACCTTCTGTCTGGTGACAGCTGTGCTGCTGCCCTGGGCCAGTACCTGCAAGGGGCGTAGCAGGTGGGAGCACACGGGGAGGGAGCAGCTGTCGGGACTGCGGTGTGTGGTTTCCGCCTAGGAAAGGCCTGCAGGGGCGTTGCACCTGTGAGCAGGTTCCTTACACTGCTGGTCTGGTTTGAGGTCTCTGCCTGTCTGGGGAGCTGAGCCTGGCTTTCTCAGTTACTAAGCTTCTTGAAAAGAGGATTTCAAACCATGTTTGCCAGCCCAACACAAAGTAGGCCCTCAGTAATGGTTTTTATAATAAATAAAGAATAACTTTGTAACTCCCTAGAGAACAGTTCAGAAGTTGTGATGTTTACACCTTTGGGAACTCTGTAATTCATCAAAGCATTATGATTATTGTTGGAGGGCCTGGTGCAGCCCCACACCAGCTCTTTTCCCTTCCCCTTTCTCTACCTCTCCTCCTAAGATAAAGACAGGGAGGATCTGGCTAACCCTCCTCCCAGAAGTTCCCGGCAAAAGGCCCTCATCTGACAGGCCCCATAGAAGAGGAGTCTCCAACTGCTTCTGGATACAGACACCATCTTTGCACTGCCCATGAGGGTCATCTCCCATTTCAATAAAGCTGATCTAAACTTGGCCCCACTGCCTCTCTGGGTGCCATCAGTTAAGCCTTTCAGTTATAGGCCAGGAACAAGCTGAAACCTTGGCCATTAGCTATAAATAGATGATAAGGTCCGTCCTCCGTCTGTGGGGCTTTAGTTATAAAATGCACCCCACACGCAGCTCTGTGCACCTTCTTGGTGTTGATTTCCTATTCTCTGTTCAAAGTGGTGATGCTGAGTCTTGGAATTTGAATAGAGAAGCTTAGCTTCTGGATCTGTCTTGGTGTAGAAAGACCAGCTTGGCACCGTTGGGTAGTGAGAGTGTATAGCCCAGACTGTTCACCCTCTCACCTGTGGCCTCCACCTCATGCTCTGCCAGACATGGAACCCAGACTCATGCTCCTTCTGCATTCTAAGTCTGTCTAGGGCAGAGGACCCAAGGACAGCCGCTTTGTGGCATGAAAATGTGATGTTACTGTGTCAGTTGAGAGTATGCATGTTGCAGAAAGACAGGGCCCAACGGGGGCCCAACGGAGAGAAAGAGCACGCAGACACAGACGGTTATAAGAGGAAAGGCTTTATTTACCAGCCCGGAGAAAGAGCACCCAGACACAAACGGTTATAAGAGGAAGGGCTTTATTTGCCCACCGGTGTAGATTTCCAAATGGCTGCACTCTCAGACTGGCTTGGTCCTTCCCTTTTTATTGATAGTCAAAAAGTTCCATGCCACAGGTACCCCTCTCATTGGCCAGTTTCAATCAAATGGGAGATGCTATTCCAGCCACTACAGAACCACAGGATTTCACACAACTTGGAAATTTCCAAATTTCAAATTCCCAAGAGCTGAGTCACTATGGAGAAGACCTTGCAGGTGTATCCTTGTGGTCTCCTTGAGAAGACCTGTTCTCCTAGACCTCACCCTTCTCCGATATTCACTCTCATGCAAAAGGAAAGGAGACTTAGAAAAATGATGGCACTTTTTTCAGTGTCTGTTCATATTTATTGTCTTTAGTAACTATCGCCCATTATAAAGGAAGGTAGCACCGTGTACAAGGCCCAGAATAAGTGTGTAGAATTTCACTAAGGAATTCCGTTTGCCTTCACATGTTCCTTCTAACCCACCTGTTCCCTCTGACCACGTGGGACAAATGTCATAAGATTCCCTGTAAACTGTTGATATAGGAGACAGAAGGAACATCTGTTTGTCCTCGTGTTCCTGGGCCTGACTATCAGAGTGGTGACAGCCCATGGAGTGCAGCCAAGCCAGGCAGGGCTCCTCCTGTTGGAAGCCGGCTCCAGACTCCAGCACGGGTGGGGGCTGCTGACTGTGTGGCATTGCTGTGTGCTCATTGTGATTCCATCCGGTTTTCTTTCCTCACTTAAGAAAGCTTATTGGAATGCGAATGAATGGGAGTGTCATTGTTAGAAAGAAAATCTTGAATTTTTCTGAAAGTAAATTATCTGTAAATGTCACAACTTGAGTTGTAGGGCGTCTTGCTCAGAGACATCCAGAGGCCTTCGTTGGATGGCATTCACACTGCAGTCTTCACGCTGAGTTGGAATAAATAAAACACCCTGGCGGGATATATGAATATGATGAGGCTTCTCTTAGACACCTCAGCACCAGAGCGAGTGTCATGCCCTGTTCTCCAAAACTACTGAGGGAAACAGCCTGCTGTAGCTGCTTCTGCAAAGGATGTTGAATTTTCATGATTTCAAATAAACTCAAAACTATCTCCCTCATTTTAGCTCAGTCCAACAGGCACATACTCCTCTTTTTTAACACAAAAAGGATAGATGCATCTTGCAGTATTCCTGGTGTACCTCAAGGGAATTCTGCCCTGGGGAGAATCCCTAGGACTGTGCAGCCTTCACCATAAAGTAACACCTCATCAGTTTGCAGGTGACTCTCGGGCTTCCAAAAAATGGAATCAATTTCTACAGTTGTTTGCTTCCAAGGGGGGGGAGGAAAACATGGTCTCTCCATATTCTTGGGGTCTTTCCTTCAGCCCAGCATAGTCTCTCATGGGCGGGGGCAGAGAATTGAGGTGTGGTGGTGATTGGAATGTCAGTTTGTGCTTGAATATTAGGGTGCCCCATGTTCCTTAACTGCATGTGGTTTCTCATAATCAAGGCTAAAGAAAAGGAAGGTATAAAATACTTCTTCTACTTTGGAAGTGTTCTGTTTACATCCCCGTTAATGAGGAGTAAGATATTTGCTATTTCAGGGTCATCTTTTCATATTCTTTTTTTATTCTGTTTTTCATAAAAGTGATTTAGAACACTATCTGTAGATCTGTGGGTGGTTTTTTTGTTTGGGTTTTTTTTTTGGCAGGGGTGGGGGGGGGTTGCTTGTTTTACACAAAAGCCCTTGGAATTGACTCTGGACCAGCTGCAGTCTCTGGCATAAAAATGTGCTCCGTTTTACTCTAGGCAGCCCTTTAGGTACGTTTAGTATGGCAGTCTTCTGAGTTCTCTTTGTTAGTTTCTGCCCTTCTGGATCTGTAAGGAGAGAGGATTGTGGGTTTCAGCCTGGAGGCCTGGGACTCCGGCACTACCTGCCTGCCAAGGTAGCAGTTCTTCATAAGATCAAGTCCTAGGAGCAGTAAGTCAGGAGCTTCCTGGCCACTATCCTAGTGAATAGTCAAAAACACTTACTAGGGCGGCACCCATGGCTCAAAAGGGTAGGGCGCCGATCCCATATGCTGGAGGCAGCAGGTTCAAACCCAGCCCTGGCCAAAAACAAGAAAAAAAAAAAAAACGTTCATGTAAAATAAGAGTGCAAATCAAAACCCCAGCAACCTCCTGGTCCCTGCCCCCACACACCCTGCCCCGACTCTTTTCACTCTTGCTGATCTAGCTGGGTCATTCTGAAAGAGCACAGTATTGTCTTGTCTTTGTGTCTTTGAGGAAGTCTCAGCAGTGGCTAACTCAGACACGAAAATCTTTCAGTTCTAACACTCCAAGAAAGGCTGTGTTTGCTGGCAGTATGCAGTTGCTGGCCGGGGTCAAGCTGTGCACAGGAAGGACCTTGACCAACCACCCCCACTATGAGGACAGCAGCCTGCGGGAGCGGACCAAGGCGGTAAGGGCCTGTCTGCCCCTTTCCTCGCTTCTCCTGGGCCAGCACCTGCGGGTTTCCCTGTGTTGGGTAAAGATGGGGTTTCGTACTGTCCACCTCCAGCTCGCACGTTGCGAGGGGAAGTCAGAAGGTAGTGCACAGAGCCTGCATCTGCTGGTTCTGGGCCACAGGCGCACCCCCTCCATTGAGGGCATGCTGTTCAGAACATGGTCCTCCCAGGACTCGCTAAGAAGGCACCTGCCCAGCCGTGTGCGGGAAGGGGTGTCTGGGAGCACAGCCCTCAGAGTTTCTCAGGCGGGGAAGGGAAAGGAAAGAGTCAGGCATACTGGCCGAATTTCTTGTGGCCATTTCTATTGTGTGGAGTTACTATTTTTTTTTAATAGATAAGACTGCCACATATTTCAAAGTTCACAGCAAACAAAATGGAAGATAGTGAAAAGTTTTCTGCCACCTCTGTCCATGTGTCCCAGCTACTGGTTCCCCTCCCAGGAGACAAATAATGTTACGAGTTTCTTGGGTAGACTTCCATAGGTATTCATGCAGATACAAATATGGGGGGTTTTGTATTATTTTCCCATTTTACAGAAGTAGCATTCTCTACCTCTTGCTTTTGGGCACTTACTATATTTTGGAGATCATTCTATATCAGTATATCAATAGCTTCCTTATTTTTAAAGTTGGATAGGCAGTGCCCGTAGCTCAGTGGGTAGGGTGCCAACCACATATACCCGAGGCTGGTGGGTTCAAGTCCAGCCCAGGCCTGCTAAACAGTGACAACTGCAACCAAAAATTAGCCAGGCGTTGTGGCAGGCGCCTGTAGTCCCAGCTACTTGGGAGGCTGAGACAAGAGAATCACTTAAGCCCAAGAGTTGGAGGTTACTGTGAGTTTTGATGCCACAGCACTCTACCCAGGGCAACATAGTGAGACTCTGTCTCAAAAAAAAAAAATGTTGGACAGTGTTTTATATGAATGTGCCATTTTATTTAACCGTTTTGACTGTTTTCCTGTTTTTGCATTTATATAAACAGTGTTCCAAATGAACTTATGTATGTATCACTCTTTATGAGGACAGCGTCTGTCTAAACATCACCTTCGCAGATGTGGGGCTGCTGGGGCACAGGGTCTGGGCATTTGTCATGTAGGTGGCTGGACACTGTCAGGTCACCAGCCGCATGCCTGTCAGTTCCCAGTGCAGGAGGCCTCTGTTCCCCTCCGTCCTCACCAGCACAATGCCAAACTCCCTGATGTTTTCCATGGGTCACTGCTTAATGTTCATAGTTCAAAGTTGTTTAAAAAAAAAAAACAGCATAAAAGCAAATGATTTATACTGAATCTCTTTTTCATAATAATCATCTGAATTTAGACACCCACTAAAATGGGGATTTTCCAGTTGCCCCCAGTGTTCCAGATAGTTCAAGTAAGTAGAAGAATGGGGAAAGGCCGGGCAGGCTCTGCAGACCCCGCTCGGGAGGTGGCCCATGCTGCTTGGTCTGGAAAGCTGCAGAAAAGACGTGGTGGGCACTGCCCTCTCCAAGATGCAGTCCCCCCCCCCCACCTAGGACGAGGGTCCGGGTGTTATACCCTAAAAGTTGTCATCCCCAAGATCCTACCACTGTCCTCCAGTTGTGACTGTCAAGTCTTTGGAACACCCTCAGTCTATGACTTGGTGCCAGTCTGTAGACAGCCCGCCGTTCTCCAGGCAGAAGCAGCTCATGCCCCCACTGTGTCACCCATCAGGTGGACACGTTGAATTAGGCCCTCACACCCACCCCCGCAAGTAGGAAACCTGTCCTTAGAAGTCCGGGGACCACAGAGGAAACAGGGCCTCTCTTAGAGAATCCACAGCCCCACACAGCCTCTCCCGCTGCGGAGTCCCGCGCAGAGCCCTCGTCCAGGAGGGACAGGGAGTGTGGACGCTGCGGGCTGCTGGTGCGGGTGCTGCCCCTGCTCCGGGAGGGAGGGTAGGGCGGAGCTGGGATCTTCTTCCGACAAGCAGCAGTAAAGCAGGTGGGCCCCAGGCTAGGGCCCGGGATGCTACAGGGATCCTCCCCCGCCACCTCTATCAGATGCTGGGTCTCCCCTTACCAGACTGTACCACCACCCCATAGGATCGTTGTGGTCTGCAGGTGGAGACTCAGTCGTGTCACTTGCTTTGGTGAAGCATTCTCAGAATTGGCCTCCACTGCTAAATATATTCATAACCCGAAAGAAGGCGCTCTAACCCAGACGCATTCAGCGCCCAGACCCGCCCTGTCCCCGAGGCTGAGCGGTTACAACACTGAGGAGATTCTCCCTGCTGCAGGCCTGCACGGGGCGGGCACAGCAGCGGGCTGCACTGGGTGCTGAGGTCTCCCATTCAGCCCCCGGGGGAGGGCACCTCATACCCTCACTTGACACCCCGGCAGGGGCGTCTCAACGCGTACCGTTTTTATCTCGCTTTGAAGATTTACCAGATATACGCCAAGAGGTCCCCCGAGGATGTGCACGCGCTCCTGCGCTCCTTCGGCGCCGACTACGTGATTCTGGAGGACAGCATCTGCTATGAGCGCAGGCACCGCCGCGGCTGCCGGCTGCGAGACCTGCTGGACATGGCCAACGGACACGTGAGCCAGGCCAGGCGTCCTGGGGGGCGGGGGCGGGAGTCACTTAGAATCCTGAGAATGGGAACTTCCCCCCGCTTTACACTCATTAGAGTGATGTTGTGAATTGAGTATTCACCTGGCCCCTGTTTCCTGCAGAGCCCCCACCTTGGCCTTTGAGTGACTGCCAGGGTGGGCGAGGCAGAGATGACAGGGCAGCGCTGGGCGCCCGGTGTCACATCCACAGGACAGCCCTGCCTTTGGCTGGTTTATATGATGGGGCTCTGCATAAAATTTATCTTTTTTTTTCTTGTTTGAGATAGAATCTCACTCTGTGCCCTGCCTGGGTAGTATGCCACTGATGTCAGCATAGCTCATAGTAACCTCAGAGTGGAGCCATCCTCCTGCCTCAGCCTCCCCAATAGCTGGGACTACAGGCACCCGCCACCATGTGGAACTAGTTTTTCTATTTTTAGTAGAGAGGAGTTCTGGCCCTTGCTCAGGCTGGTCTTAAACTCCTGAGCTCCAGAGATCCACCTTCCTCAGCCACCCAGAGTGCTGGGATTATAGGCATGAGCCACTACACCAGGCCTAACCTTTATCTTTTAATGATTTGGGTACTAAAAACAAAACCTCAGGCCTTTCAGCCTGTGATCCCAGCACTCTGGGAGGCCAAGAAGGGGTGTATTGCCTGAGCTCACAGGTTCAAAACCAGCCTAAGCCAGAGCAAGACCCCCATCTCTAAACATAACCAGGTGTTGTGGCAGGGGCTACGGGAGGCTGAGGCAAGAGAATCACTTGAGCCCAAAAGTTTGAGGTTGCTGTGAGCTGTGACTCCATAGCACTCTACCCAGGGCACAGAGTGAGACTCCATCTACCAAAAAAAAAAAACCCTCAGCCTTTAAAACTACTGCTCCCAAGCTTCCAATTGGCTTATCCCAGAGGAGCTGGGTCTGTGGGGCCCCTCTCTCCTCTCCACCCACCGCCATTCCCACTGCTCTAACGTCCCTTTGGATGTCCCATGTCCACCATATCCACTGAGATGCTTCCACCAAGACAGCTTCCTGTGGCCACGCCCGTCCTACAGAGCAGCAAAGCCACAAGGCGTTTTCCTTCCTTCCTCCTGAGAAAGATACTCTTGGAGCCATGCCAGGGCTCACTCAGTGGCACAAACAGAAGATTCTCACCCTTTAGAGGTGTGATACAAGCTATGACTAATGGCAGAGCAGCTGATAGATACTTGTAAACAAGTGGGACTCATCAGCTGGTTCTCACTGGGCCACCGATGAGTTAGAGAACCTGCGCTGGTCATAGTTCTCCATCTGGCTTTGCCTCCAGTGGTTGGCCACCGTGTGAAGCTGGACACTGCTTCTCAGCCACTGTATGAGGCTGGACTCTCCTTCTCAACCACCGTGTAAGGCTGGACTCTCCTTCTCAGCCTTGGTTTTCACTTCCCAAGAGGGAGAGGGTGGACCAAGTGATCTCCAAGTAGCTATTGATGTTGAAATCGTATAATTTAATTTCACTAACATTCTTAAAGAAACCCAATACACCTGTTCCTGTTTCTTTTGTCTTTTTATAAATAAGATTTTCCTCTGTGATTTGTTTTGGTTTCAGGTGATGGATGGCCCAGGAGAGAATGATCCTGATTTAAAACCTGCACACCACCCTCGCTTCTGTGAAGAGATCAAAAGAAACCTGCCTCCCTACAAGGCCCACTTCACTAGAGTGTTCCACAACAAAACATTCCACGTTTACAAGCTCTCTAGAAACAAGTAACAGAGAGTTCTGTCCGGCCTCCATTTTTGATACACTAAAGCTGCATCATAATGCAACTCAGTAGGGTCCCTATGTAAGTAGGTAGCCGGTACCTTAAAGCTGTGACATGAGGGAGTTCTACAGATGTTTACACAGATGTTACCATCTTCGAAATACCTTCTCTAAGCTTCTGTCTTTTTGTCTTGTCTCTGTCTTTTCCATTAATGTTAGCTTAAATGCTCACAGCTTTCCAAGAGTAATCTGGATTTGATTGCTGGGGAGAACACCTTTTCCGTGGAAAGCCTGGACAGCCAGATACCAGGCTGGAATGAGAACCTCTTCAGGATTTGAAATGCTTTTTAATTTCCAGTTGACTTAAGACAGCTGTGATTGAGTCGATTGAAAAGATGATTAAATTATTTAATGTTACTTCATTAGTGAAGGCCAACTGCTGGCTTTTTAAAAAGCTCTTTATTGTCCCATTTTCACCTGAAAATTTTATAATGCTTTCCAATTATTGCGCTTTTAACATTAACAAAAAAAATCATGTTGGATCTTTGTATGTATTGAACATTTTGTTTCACTCTGTCTGAAAGGTCCCGTGTAGCAGGCAGTGTGTAGTAGTGTGTCACGTAGTGTATGTGTGAGTGTGTGTCCTAATGCTGGCACAGAAAAGTGTTAGGAGTTCCAGACTGTAAGTCCTGAAAGGGGCAGAAATGTATGTAGCCAAGTATTTAATAGCATTTGTCACTGTCGAGCAGTATTATTTTAAAATCTACTGACACTCTTTAACCTCTCCTGCAAGTAAAATAGTTTTGCTTTATTTCTTACTCACTTCAACTCACTGGGTTTGCAAAATTTTGTAAACTTTTTGTGTTTTTAGCCTTTGTATTTTTTGCAGCCTAGAACTTCAAAGTCTGAATATTTTTTAAATGGTGTATCTTGACTAGTTCACTGATAGGTATTTTTAGCAGACAGCATTTTCATACCGACTTTGACCTGTGGTCTCCAATCTTACTGGGAGGGCCCTGGTACCGTTATTCCCTCCCTTCCTAAAAGGTAACCAAGTGCCTCTAAGTCATGGTTGTTTGTAAACAGCAGAGAGGGTGATACCTACTCAAAATTTTTTGATAATTGCTTTTATAATTAATTTCCAATGATGGGGACCTGTACAAGTTGCTGACATAAGCATATTGTACATTTAATTAAATCCAGATGACTAATGAAATTTGCTGTCTCCCTGCCTTGCCAGTTGGAAATGATTTAAATATTTCTCCTTGCAGTTGTATTGAAGTAAATTACCATAGACATCACGATGGACACATCCCACTTTCAAATGAACTTGCATTCAGCTACTACTTCCGAGCAACACTCAGACAAATGTTTACCCTGTCATGTTAGACACAGAGATACTCAACTTCTGTCAAAAGGTATTTAAATAAAAAATGAGAGTAGTTGGGCTATTAAATTGTGCAACTGAAACTCCCAAATTATATCTTTCCTATATCCCTTAATAAGGTTGGAGACCACTGCAGTTTAGGATAACACAATAATAAAACATTTTAATCGGTACTGAAACTTTAATTAAGCCAGTAACGATGCATGCCTGTTGGTGCTGACAGCACGGGTCAGTGCCCACTTCAGCGAGTGCCTTACTCTAATTGAAACCAAGCACATGTAAGGTACAGTATATTACCTGTGTGGTTTTGTTTTTCAAGTCTTCTGTTGCCTTTTGAGATATTTGAGATTTAAATTTATTTTAAATATTCCTGTATGTTTTCTTCTAAGCATTTGGGCATTTGGATTCTCAGAATGCAAAACACGTACTTAAACTTTGTGCTTACCATCCCCACAGTGCTGCACACAGCCATCTTCTTCCCTTGGTTCAGGTGCCATCGTTGCCAAAACACTCGGTGTCAGTCTTTAGTGAAAAATGTAAAGTGCCCAAAAAAATCTTGCAAGACAGAACCACACTGCGCTCTTTCTAAGACACTGTGACCATGTACAGCAGAAGTTTTTATTTCTTGGTGACCAAATCTCTCAATGAATCATGTCCAATGTTTTTAGCAGTGTCCTCTCCCATGACCTCTTTACTGAAGTAGATGAGAGGAAAGAGAGGAAAAGCCTCTACCCTCTCTGGCTCTGATCTCCAGCCTCTCCTACTAAGCTGAAGCAGGAAACCGTGTAAGCTGCCTGCCACACAGACCTGGGGCTGTGCTAATACTTAGTAATATCCAGATAGTGGCTCTGGAGTTTATGGATAGAAAAACCACTTGATTTGCTTCTGAGTTAGCAGCCAGAAGACCCTCTATGTCAGCAGTTCTCAACCTGTGGGTTGTGACCGCTTTAGGGGTTGAACGACCATTTCACAGGGGTCACCTAAATACATCCTGCATATCAGATATTTACATTATGATTCATAACAGTAGCAAAATTACAGTTATGAAGTAGCACCAAAAATAATTTTATGGTTGGCAGGCACCACAACATGAGGAACTGTATTAAAGGGTCGTGGCATTAGGAAGGTTGAAAACCACTGCTCTAAGTCCAACAGAAGTGCTCTTAGCTGCCTCTGCTTATGTGACTCCCTGAAGGCTCCATCCCACTTGTCATCTGCTTGCCCAGCACAGCTGGCTGGCCAGTGCCTAGGGTTAGCAGAGAGGAGCCGTGCTCCCTGCCTCCCTTGACCTGTGTGCCCATCCCAAACCTCTCCATGCAAGTTCTGCTGCTTACTGTAAATGGACAATGCAGTTATTTACATAAACCTAGGAAATACAGGTGTCAGTTATTTCTGCAAAAATTAAGTTGTATGCTTTGGTAATATTTGATAAAGATTGAGTTGTTTTTAAATTTGACATGGTTAGGAAAATTATAAAATACTGAGGAAAAACTATAAAAATCAAGAAAATTTCTGAGCCCATATTGCCTTGCGGATTTATTTAAGGACTCATTTCACCTTTAAGAATCTAAACCAACAGGAAAGTGTTAAAATGTCCCTAAATCATAGTATTGGTATGATTTACACAGGAAGTGGAAGTGCAGCCATTGGACACTTAGGTAAAGGAAAGACCTCGTCTTCACAGGAGAAGATTAGCAAACAGATGCAGTTACACATTTTAAGTTAGGATTGTCTACTTTAACCTACTTACTGCATTAAATGACCAATTCTAGTACCAATTACAATGTTTATTAGAGATCCCTAACATAGTGGAAAGGCTCCTGTCACTTTCATTACAGTCTTAGAAAATAGAGATTCATTTCAAATATTATGAGCCAGGGACAGAATTAGGTGTTACCCAGGCCATTTGTTGTTTTCTTAAAGATGATTTTCTTGACCTGGGTGAGATCAGCTCTGAAACTGTGTATGTGTGTGTATGTTTTGGGTGGGTGCTGCCAGCTGGGAAAGGCATAATACAGATATTTCATCTGGTCTGGATCTTTATTTCACAATTAACTGAAAATAAAAAATGTTTATTCCTATTCTACATTAACTTTGTCTAAAATGTAAAAATTATAGCTTATCTTTGGCCAAAATCTACCTGGATTAACGGAATGTTTGATTTTTAAAATTTGATGCAAACCTTAGAATCAATAGGAAGATTATTAATTAAAGTGTTCTCAGATGATGTATCTTGGTTGGTTGCTCTCTGAATGCTTTATACTTTACACATGGAGACTTTTTGGCCTAAGAGTGTTTGTTCATGGAAAAAAGGTTACGAGAGAGTGGCTTACTTTCTTCTGGCAATTGATTCTCCGTTTTTAACATCTTATGGGTAAGATCTTATTAAGAGCTTTTATAATTAGTTGTACTGAATTGTCTGGAAAGTGTATGCTAAGTAAAGCTCTTTTAAGTTATACGAGATGAGTGTCTTACATTTTTTTGAAGGTCAAAAACAAAGCCTGCTTATTGAAGTGACTATTTGCTAAATGAGTAAGTCTCTAAAGATGGGCGTGTCAAAGTCTGAATTGTACTTGCTGATGCTGAAGGAGTGTGTTTTTCACATGGATTTTGGTTTGATAGCTGCTTATTTGCCTCAATTGAATTTCAAAGTTGTAGTTTAGATTTATAAAGAGAAGCCTGCTATCAGCAGGATTTATTCTTGAAGACATAAGTACTGTTTGTTTTGACCTTAAGAACAGTTTCTACTTCTTGATTAAAATTCTGACTTTTTAGTAATTATGGAAGTCTACAATTCTTGGTGAGAATTTATGGATGACAAATGTGATTGGCTATTATGTTCAAAGCAGAAGTTGAAATGGTCAGAAAGACAAATCAAAGAAACTGCCAGAGGGATCTCAGATATTCAGTACTGGTGAGTGGTCTCGAGCGGAGAAAGAAAGGAGAACAAACAGGTAAGTCGGGGGGGGGGGGGGGATTGGGGATATGAATGAACAGTGCTGTGTGACATGGACGCCAGGCACTTGGCAGATGAAGTGCTTTTTCCCAACGCTCCTTTTAGAAAAAGTATCTGAAATTCATTTTGTAATCCTTTTTAGTTAATATTTAGAAGTTTGCTTTATAGGGCAGTTTTTCAAAATGTAGATAATGGGACTATGGGATTTCTGCAGGAAGACAAGGCCCAATGCAGAGAAAGAACAGCCGTGTTTCAAAGCAGAGGGGCTTTACTCAGCCGCACAGCCACAGCGGACTAGAGTTCAGAGACAGCCACACTCCCATGCTGGCCCTGCTGTCTCCCTTCTATCTCTAGCCAAGGATTTCCATTGGTCAGTGTGAATCGAGCTGGAGAAAACTGCTTGGGCTTTTATAGAAGCTGAAGCAAGCATTAGTTTCCAGGTCCCCGGAAGTCAAATTTGTACAGATTCCTAAGAGCTGAGTCACAGTGCGGGAACTCGTAGGGGTGTCCATGGGGCTTCTGTGAGAAGATGTTTGTTCTCCAGACCTTACTTCTCCCAGGCATCCTCTCTCAGTGGATATAATGGGAAATTAACTTGGTGGGGGGGGGGGGGACAATCCATATGGTAAATACGAGCATTGCCTTGTGGAATATTTGTTTCAGTGACACATGTGGGTATTAGTGTGTAACATAAAATGTATTTCTTCCTGTGAGTCGTAGCCAAAGTTTGAAAGCCACGCCCGACAGCAGGGGATTCTGAGAGGATGCACCATGAGCTTGTCTCCTTGTCCTCCAGCTCCACTCTGGTAGAGCCTTCTGAGCTTTCACGATAGTAAATAGTCATATCTTTTCATGTGTGATGTGGAAACTTTATGGTTTTAATATATTCTTAATATTTGTAGACAAAATTGTACATCTAGGATTTGTGTCAAAATACACTTGATTGTAGCCAAAAGGCCAACAAGCAATTGATTTGTGTGAAAATAATTTTGTGGGGCATCTAGATAAAATAAGATTGGCTGTGAATGATATGAGCTTTGAGCTCATTTGGAATGCTTTATAATGAAAACAGAGAAATTAAAACCAACAAAATGAACTAGGCTAGGAAGATAAAACTTTAGAAGGTTTAAAAAAAAAGAATCTGGAGGTTTCTAATCCGTCTTTAATAGTACAACAGAAAATGACAGGGGAATGTAAAAAAAAATTTTTGGATTTTTTTTGCAGTTTTTGGCTGATATAGGGGGCTGGTGCCCTACTCCTTTGAGCCACATGCACCACCCAGAATGTAAAAATTTTGATTAACTCAATTCCTCCTGAGTTGTGTGTAAGGAAAAAAAATTTAGAAAATAAAAGCTGAAATTAATCAGCTCTTCTAAACACAGGTGTTCTAAATAAATCCCACATCCAGTTCTTTCTAAAAGACTAATGAAATAGTTGAGAAACCTGGTTAAGGAAAACGAGCAAAAACATGCAACATAGAATATTAGGAATGCCAAAGAAGTTTTTGGGAAAAAAATTTCAAGAATGATAAAAAGAATTATATGAGAGTAATGTATGTAGTTCTATGACACAAATTGAAAACCTACAGGAAAAGAGTGACTTCCTAACAAAATATAAAAAATCAGTAAAAGTCAGCTTTCAAAAGAAATTGAAAATTTGAATAGACAAGAACCAGAGAGGCCGTGGAAAGGGGTTCAGGGGTTGCAGGGGACATTAGAACAAAAAGGTACACAGACAGAGTATTTCTAACTTTTAAAGAAAGGATGACTCCTATGTTAACTATCTCAGCCATAAAAAAATAAAGCCTCTTAGCCAGGCATTGTGGCAGGTGCCTGTAGTTCCAGCTACTGGGGAGGCTGAGGCAAGAGAACCTCCTAAGCCCAAGAGCTGGAGGTTGCTGTAAGCTGTGATGCCACAGCACTCTACTGAGGGTGACAAAGTGAGACTGTCTCTAAAAAATAATAAAAATAAAAAGCCCCAGGGTGCTTTAGGAGGCCAGTTAAATTTTAAAAACAAAACACAGATAGTATATACTTTTCTATTACTGTATAACAAATTATCACAAATTTTGAAGCTTAAAACAACACACATCCGAGAGGTTTTCTGGATCAGTAGTCTGAGCACATCTTAGCTGGGTCTTCCTGTGTCTCACAAGGTTCATGCAAGCTGGGGGCACAATGCAATTCTTAGGACTGTAGCCCTGAGGCCACTGCTCCTTGAGGCCGCCCCTCCCCGGGGGCCGTTCACAGCATGGCTGTTTGTCTTTCCAGGGGCCCCTCTCTCTTTAGTTCTTCCTTGTAAGGTTTTTACCTGATTAAGTCAGACCTACTCAGTATAATCTTCATTGGTATTAATTCAGAATCAACTTACTTGTGACCTGGACTACACTTGCAGAACCCTTTCACCTGCCATGTAGCATAACCTAACCAGGGAGTCATGTTTGTCCTGTTGACAGGTCTCCCATACCTTGGGGGGGGGGGGGGGCACGTGCATGGTCATCAGGGGGTGGGAATCTTAGGGGCCAACTTAGAATTCTTCCCACCACAGATGGTTTAAAAGAATAGGGTCTGGACTCAACTGAGTGTTTGTTTGGCAATCACTAACACAGGACAATAAACTTTGATAGAGGGGAAGCCGTCTGGGAGGGTAAGTCAGGAGGATTGCTTGAGGTCAGGAGTTCAAGACCAGCCTGAGCAAGAGCAAGATCCCATTTCTACAAAACAGAAAAATAAGCCAGGTGCACAGCTGTAGTCCCAGCTACTCAGGAGGCTGAAGCAGGAGGATCACTTGAGCCCTGGAGTTTGAGTTTGCAGTGAGCTATGATGATGCCACAGCACTCTACCCAGAGCAGCAGAACAAGACTCTGTCAAAAGAAAAAGGATGGGAAGCACACGAGGTGAGTCCCAATTTCGCCCTGACTTTCTCCCTTAAAGTCTTTTCCAAATAATGATGTCACAGGAAGATGGACACCAAGCAGGACTGTCAGGCTTTTTGGAGTAAACAGGTTGTAGCCCATGGTTGCTAAGGAGCTGGG